TGCAAAGTACTACAATATTTTATTGCTGCTCATTTACCTTGGTAAGTTTGGTCTGTCTCTTTGTAGTAATATTGACAGTGCATAAACTATATTTAAGGCAAAGTTACTACATTTAATCCCTTCAGAAGTCATACTACAAGGACACTAAAACTTCCAATTTTTTTTGAAATTCGACCAATTTGAAACTAGTAAAATAATTTCAATTACTTCTAACTTCCTCCAAATTAAGAAATACTTTCCTGAATCACTGGAAGTCAATATACCCATCTTCAAACAGTGTTCTAAAGATTTTACATTACACCTTTTACATTATCTAATTCCTCTTCTATTCAGATTGCATAAAAACATACCAGATGTAATATTTGTCTATCTTAATTGTCAAAGTGAATGTTTTAAAAATACAAGCTATACAAGCAACAAGCCAGAAATGCTGAGTGGCAGCCTGTTGGATTCCATGGCATTCAACAGAAATATCCAGCACTACCAGACAGGTAACTGCAACAGGCGCACATTGTAATAAGGAAAAATTAACAGCAGCATTTAGTAAGACAAAGAAAGAAAAGATGGTTTTGTTATCCTTTATCATAGCTTCAATTTTCTGCCCTTAACAGTATTTAGTATTGTTCAATGTCCCCTGGAATGTGCTTATTTTCCCTACTTTTTCTTATTTTCTTCCTACTTTTTCATATTCCTTTCCTCTACACTAATACAACCTATCATAATTAGTCTGCACTCTTACCCTTAATATAGGCCCTACGTATCGTAGAATCATAGAATCGCATCAGCTGCAAGAGACCTAGAACATCATCGAGTCCAGCCTTTGTCCCAGCCCTACTAACCTACTAAATAATTCCCTCCAACGCAACATCCACCTGTCTCTTAAACACCTCCAGGGACGGTGACTCAACCACCTCCCTGGGCAGCCTGTTCCAATGCCTGACAACCCTCTCAGTAAAGAAATTCTTCCTCATATCCAACCTGAACCTCTTCTGGCGCAATGTAAACCCATTTCCCCTCATCCTATCACTCTCCACTAGGGAGAACAGACCAATCTCCGCCTCTCTACAACCTCCTTTCAGATAGTTGTAGAGAGCAGATTTAGATGTAAGGAAGATGTTCTTCACTGTGCGAGTGGTGAGGCACTGGAAGAGCTTGCCCAGAGAACCTGTGGATGTCTCATTCAAGGCCAGGCTGGATGGGCCTTTGAGCAACCTGGTCTAGTGGGAAGTGTGTGCCCATAACAGAGGGGTTGGACTAGATGATCTTTAAAGTCTCTTCCAACCCAAACCATTTTTTAATTCTGTGTCATTACTTAAGTGTTTTATAGCAACCAGCTGATTTCTCACAATCAGGATAAGGCTCACCACATTTGACTTCTCATGCTTCCTCATCCAAAGCAAAAAATGCTATTTTTCAACTTCTTCAATTAACAAAATGGGAAAGTTCAGACTGCAGCTACAATAGCTCTTTGGGCTAATACATAGCAGAAATGTTCTTAGAAATTAAGCAATCTGCAGGATTTTTCTCAAGTAGTCAAGAACATAGTGACAGGACAACCAGAAACCCCTGCAATTAACTGTTTTTCTCTTAATGGGAAGTTTTACTTTACTTCAAACTTTTCACTATGCCAGTAACTCAATTAGTCTATGAATACTATACGGCCTTCACAGATTGCTGCACCAGTTTCAAGCGGTAGTTCTAAAAAGTCAGGTATGCCTAAAGCCTATTTCATGGTGAAATTAATACTGTAGTCCTCTAAACACCACAGCAGCAATAGGCAATTTTAAAAGGAAGAATATGGGTAAGTTGCATCTAAGCTGTAGTAACCAGATCTATCATCAATGAACAGTGATTCCTGACACCCGGAATGGTGGCTACTGGAAACAAAAATAATGAGATAAGCAAAACTCAGTTTTATCTTTTAATAATATCTAAAATATATACCACACTGTAATAAATTTATTTCAGATAACTTGTGAAGATTATCAAAATGCTTTATGTTTCAAACTTTTTTAAAATGGGCATAACCTGGTAATCCTTGCAGAAACAGAACTTAACCAAAGGTTTTTAAAAAGTGAAATGTTTTTTTTAAATGTTTCATCCATGTTTCTATCACTTAAGAGTCAACTTGTAAAAGGTAGTCTCTTTGCAATAAAAAAATACTACCCTGGAAACTGGCTTTCCTCAAATGCTCCTTGATGCTGTTCTCAAATAAAAACCATTCAAATAAGTTCTCTCCATGTTTTTTTAAAACCATCTACCCAAGTCAAGTAAATTCTTTTGAGCTTTATGCTCTTAAAGGTAAGAGCTTCTTCAGAGACCTACACTGCCTTCAGAAAAATGAAATTTAAAAAACGTTAGGGAAGGCCAAGATACACAACTGAAAAAAGAAACCAGCCGAAGTTACCAGGAAAAAAGGTTGTAGAATGTTATTATAAAGTGTAGTATAATCAATCAATAAACTTCAGAAAAGGTAGACTGAATTTTGAACTTAAGTCTGTTTTGGATAAAGTCAAAAGGAATTTATCACCTCTCGCAGAAAATACACTAAATAGCTTTTACAGCATTCCTCAAGAATATTTTTGCAATATCTAAGTGCCTTCCAGTAAAATTACTCATCTTTTATTTTAGGGACAATCAAGTCATCCTGTCCTTTGTCTGCAGCTGTGCAGCCTCAGACAGATCTAGCTAGTCTTTATTTGGATAGATTTTATCTTGATCACCGCCTCCATTAAAAAACCCCACCCTTCTGTGCCACATTTAATAAAAAGATGCCAGTTAAACAGAAATACTAGAACACATGCCAAAATGGAGATATAACATTTTACCCTGAAAAGCAGCCTTAAATACCTGTGGCTAACACCACCACAGCCCTGTCTTAATAATAAATACTAACGATCACCGGCAGACACAAAACCAGGTTAGGAGCCAGAGTATCTAGTTTCATTTATGATTTTGCTCACAATTTTTCTTCTGCATACCCATAGTTTCCCTGTCTTTAAAATGGCAGACCTGTTTAAACAATGAGAATGTATGCTGGATGACTTCTGATGAAACGGTTGTATTTATGTCTTCCTAATAATCCCACTGTCACAGATGAGCACGTGAGATGATCCACTGCATGAAGAGATGACTAATAGGACTGTCAAACACTTGTTGGAATGAACTCCAAAGATAACTGAGTTTATTCTGAGGGACTGTTATCCCTAACTTGACAATTCCTTTTATATAGGTAATATGCTGAAAAACTTGGTACGACCGGGCAATTTGTCTGGCTGGTAGAACCTTGTATTTGCAGAGAATTTTTGATGCAGCTCTGCAGGTTTGTCAAATTAGAAGCATGATGAAGGCAATTTGCTTGGTCTCTTGTGCAGGAAGTATAAATGGAAGGAATGACTTGATTGTGCACAGCATGCCAAATGGTTAAATGAAGCATTAGGCTTAGCATTAAAAGCAGCAGCACTGTTAGAAACAATTTGCAGGGAAGAAATTGGCAGATGCAGAAATAACTGTGTGGGCTCATTCTGCTTCTAACCAAGATTTCAGAGTACAGCTTAGCAAAAAAAAACCCAAAAAAACCCAAAACAAAAATAAGAAACCATCAGAAAAAAAAACACCACAACCCCCCCCATTAACTAGAGAGACAGAATTATCTATATTTTAGTTCTGTAAAAGTAGAGAAGATATTTAGCTTAATGAATTACTTGTCTAATTTTTTTGTTAGGAGAGAACGTTAGCATATGCATTACTCACCTTAGAGAGTATTTCGAGTGCTTGATGTAGAAAGGCTCTCCGGGACTTACAAATTGCAGCTGCGATTTAATACAAAATGCTTAAAAGTGCACTATATCTAAGCCTATCATATTCAATTTATGACATGCTTCAGATAAATCAGGTCACTTAAAATACAGCTTTAGCCAGGGTTTAAAAATAAAGCATACTGCAATTTGTGCGTAGTAGGAAAAATTCACATCTCAATATTTTACTGAAGTTAAAAATTAAAATAAATAAATCAAGATAATAATAAATCTATGCAAACTACAATCTATTATTTTTTCAGTTGCAAATATATTGCAAATACACTCGGTGTTTCAATCAGACAAGAGAAAAGAGGAAAAACTACAGGAGAACAAAATTCTTCAAATATAATAATGACTTCTGAAACTAGAAAACTAAGACTTGTACCATTGCAATTTTCTGCCAAGAGGTGAAAAAGCAGTGCAGCTGAACCGTCGTAAGGATTCATGACAATCTATTCACAATAAGGTCTGTCAGACTTACCAAGTGTGTTGTAGAGGAATTATTCCGCAAGTTGACTTTTAACGTGTGTGATTCCCCAACTACAGTTGGGGGAAAAGTGTACAGGTCTTCTGGTGCATATACTCCTCGAATTACCTCATTTTGTCTGATTTGAAAAAAGGGATTTAAGTTATTAAGATTTCCTACCTATATGGTCTGGATATATTTACTGCATACTTCAAGATAACAAGTGTGCTTTCTGAGACTACAGCAGGAAAAATTGAAAGATGCTGAAGGCATCAACTCTCTCACCCTAAGATTTTTAGGCAATACATTTTAGTCAGAAGGAATAATGAAAGCATCACTGTGGCATAAATATATGTGCACTTACTTAACCACATTTTCACAATTGGCATTTTTCCCCATATGCTTTACTAGAGAACCAAACTCTTCTCAGAGATGACATGTTTAACCAAAACATTTTATTCCCCTGCCATATTCACATGATCTCATAGTAAAAGAACCGGAAATTTAACCAAGACTTAAGAACCATAAAGTTAAGACATGGTCCTCTCAGAGGTGACTTCACAGTTTTATGGAGTCACCATAAGCGGAGTATACAAAAAAGATGCACATTATTCTACCAGCTCATTTACAAGAACGAATCATGGTTAGGCAACCTAGAAACCCAGGTGAAAATAAAAAGCATGGGAGACTGAACAAAGACATTAAGAGTTTGGCAAATCTGGTTTTTTTGGAGCTGTTTACTCTTTAACAGAGAATCATAGGGTAATTCATGTCAGAAGGGACTCAGGATGTTGCTAGTTCAACCTCTTGCACCAATCAGGGTCAGCTGTGAGGTCAGACCAGGCTGCTCAGTGCTTTGTCCAGTCAAATCCCAAAAACCTTCAAGGACAGAGGCTGCACAGACTCTCTGCACAGCCTGTTCCACTACACAGCTGTCCTAATGGTAAAAAAGGTTTTGGTTGTGGGGTTGGGATCCACCCCTGCTCCATTTTTACTCAGTTGAAGATTCTCTTCTTTAAAGTTTTGTCCATACATACCCTGCTCTAATTGTAGATGCTTCAGAGTAAACCCTCATTTCTGGTCTAACTGGAAGCTCAGTTTTTGTGAGGACACTTGGGAAAGCTGTCACAATTGAAGCTTCATTTTCCATTTCAGTACCCTATGGGCAAAAATAGAGAAGCCTTTAAACGTTGCATTCGGAAGTGTTTAAGTACTCAAGTACGTAAGTTATTTCCCTTACCAAATCCAAGGCTTTTTATCTAAAATAAAATATTTCAGAAACAGTAGAGTCTGGGTCATTGAGACAGAATCAACAGTTTAGGAGGAATATTTCAGCAGGCTTCTGTGTCTTATCAATACTTTATTTGTTACAAGCCAGTTCACAACAAACTAGCAGCACAGGTGGAATCTCAAGAAGGGTGGTAGCAACGAAGATTTTACTAAAAGCCAAAACAAAAAACAACTCCTCTGCAGATATTCTGCCCATATGCCTCAAGAACAGCAAAGTCAGCTAAACAACTGTTCGGAAAGAAGGTATAAGTTGTTACAGCCTGAATTCTCACAAAAGCAAAAAACTTTGTAGTAACTTCGTATTATGAATGTCCTTCTCAAAGAAAGGTCTCTCTGGAGAGACAGAATCCAATAATCCACTATATGGAAATTGTTACATTCAGAAATTAGGCCAAAATATTTACAATCGTCAGGACCCCCACTCAGTGTACTGAAGGACTGGTTAGCTCAGTGGTTTGAGTGCGGTGCTGGCAACAAGGACCAACACTGAGGTTGCGAGTTCGATTCCCACTCGGTCCCCCATGTGTTGCCTGGTCTAGTCGAGAGGTGGCGTCCCTGCCCAAAACAGGGAGGTTGGACTAGATGATCTCTAAGGCCTAGGCCATTCCAGGATACTGTAACACATGGAGACCAGATAACCCGAAGGGAATACTTCACCAAATTGCCCATTTAAAATTCTGCGCTGTTTAACTAAATCTAGCCAGATACAGTTTGGAGCCCCTTGGGTCACATCATCTTGAGCAAACTTAAAGAACCAAAAGCACCTCCTACACTTACGGTCGTACAACATTTTCTCAATTTTTGAAATGGTGCTGACGTTTTAGACAAGCAGTTGATTCCCTTACGCGGGGAAGATTTAAAAAATAGATTCATCTTCAACAGAGCTGCTATGACAAACTTGTCATTTCGACATTCATTTCTTCTATTGAAAGAGCTGCTAATCACTCTGTCAGAAATAGCAGCAACCAAAAAAAAAAAATCTTAATTTTAAAGAATATTTTTCAGTTGCAAATAATCCATGAATCACAGCAGAACCCAATACATAAAGACAAGAAAAGATTTGTACATGTGTTTTGTTTCAAAAGCTTTTAATTTTCCATGTGAAAAATGATGGGTGTCATGTCTCAGTGTTACCATTCAAATTCTAATTTATCAATAAGGTAAGTTTACTGCATGAGAATAAGGTAGATTATGAAAAATGATCAGAAGTTCCCTCAGTCTTATAAGGGCATTTTTTAAGCATTGCATACTTTACTGACTTCTGTTTCAAATGAAAGTGGTATTTAACACTGTTCAAACGGTTACAAGTAAGTGCTGTTGTTCCAAAGCCACCTCAGGAGCACAAAAATCTGTTTAGCTTTAAAGCTGGAAATATTTTGCTCATAAAGTTTAACAAGATTTTTCCTTCTCTTGCTTCTGGGATACTCAAAGAAGATAAAGCTTTGTATTGTTGATAACAATCAAATTAGGACTCTTAGTTAGCAGTATGTTCTGTGGTAAGTATTAAGAAATTCAGCTCAGTTTGCTGCAAAATGATATTTTAAAAAGTTACATAGCTACACAGCTTAAGTATGTAAATTTAAAAATGGTATGAACTTAACATTTGTAACGTTTTCAAACAATAGCAGGTGTTCTTTATGAAGTCCTCAACTTTCTACACGCTAAAGGAGCAATCAGAACTTTGGTGCTGCCTCAGCCTTCCGGCAAGTTCTTGCCAGTTCCTCTTCATCCAGAAGAGGCCAACAATTAGACTGAAACAACAATCCAAGACTTTTGTGCACAATGGTGATATTCATTCTTAGCTCAATGGTCTTAAAACAATACCTGACAGCAGCCTAACAAATGTGTCTCAGGATAAAAAAAAAAAAAAAAAAAAAAAATTTGAATGACCAATATTGAGAGGTTGGGGTGGCAAAGCACATGCAGAATCCCTCCTTACTTTATCTCTGGGGGAAGTTTTGGAGACACGATCTTTCGAGCTTCTGACTACAGTTTCCAGAGGCAGGGACTGCAAATGCATTCAGAGCATAATCAAAGTCACAGTTAATTAGATTTTCAGGAGAAAAATGGAAGTGGTGCCACTAAATTCACCTTATTCTTTTAGTTCTTTCCTGATCTCTTCCAAATTTTCCATTTCTTTTGAAGTGGTGCTATAAATAAATACCACCCAGTCATCCTGAATGACAGTCAGTCTTCCCACTTCATTCTGTCAAAAGTCACATTAACCGGAGTCGTAGCCCTCTGCCTCAGCAAATCAGCAAGATCCAAGTCCTTTTCAAAACTGTGGTAGCATGGTCCTAATTTTTGATCCCTATGACATAATCTATTATAATTGCCTCATCTTCTTGACTAAAAATTTGATCTGATTAAAAAGCTGCCACAATTTAAGCAAAGGTTCTGTGTTGATACCTCTTCCAAATAGATACATAGTTCCTTATCTCGTTGATAATCAAAGTATTTCCCTTCCAATTCTTTCTCAGAATGATAGTGACACATTTCAAGTATTTTCTAAGTAATTTTTCCCTTATGCACAAAAAGATGCTGCAAAGATCTAACTGTTAACAGCTTAGGAAAAAAACAAGAGGAACAAATCCAACACAGTAGTTCAAAAACATTAATATCAAGTTGTGCTGCTCAAAGATTTACACAAGTCTGACAACTAGTCACGTTTTAAGAATTCTTCAAAACTGTAGATTTCTGACAAAGAATTCGTCTTTTCTAAATTTCAAGTAGCTTTAAACAGACAAATGGCATTAACATTTATCTCATTTTAAGGAAAACTATGTTCAAAGAATTAGAGGAAAGCTGAATAAAAACCTCTTCCAAACCAAAAATTATACAAGTCTCATTCTTCATTGCAAAATTAGACTTATTTAACATGTACTTTTTTAACAAGTCTCCTTTTTCAAACACAAATAACTGGGAAGAAAACAGGCCCTACAAAATTAAAGGTAAGGTACACTGGCAAGAGGGGTTAGGAAGGTTTGATACTCTAAAGAAAGATCCCAAATCTTCATCTGGGCTTCTTGGTAAAAAGAAGGTAACTCTCTAGAGAGGACAGTAAAGCACATATATCGATCATGCAATATAGAGCATATAAAGCTCTTCACATTCAGCTTATTTAACTAATCATTAGAATTAGTTCTTCCTAATAGTAATAGAATCTCTGTCCTACGTAGACAACTCCTGTATGGATAATGAGGTAGGAGTAAAAGCAGAGAGTGAGCACAGAAAGCCAGTTCTACCTCCCGAATCCCTCACTATGAAGTTAGAGCTGAGAAACACTAAACAGGGCAGCAAAGGAGAGCTCAAATCCAATTGCGGTCCCGTGAACACATCTTAAAATCACCCCCACCTACAGTGTTACTCTGATAAAGTACTCAGCTTCTATCAGAGAAACATCTCTATCTCCAATATGGATATCAGAGACACATCCATATCTCCAATATGGATATTTGAAAATTCCAATATTGCATTGTTATATATTATAGCAAAGGTCAGTTACTTTGTTATTTATTTATACAAACAAACCCAGTCCTCTTAGTGTCTGATACAAACAAATCTGCCTCTACAGAAACAATTCTCACAGAAGGGAAGTTTGTCTATATTTTCTCTGAGTAAAATAAAGTTTAACAACTTATATAGCAAAAGATAATGCATTACCACATAAGCAACGTGAAAAAGGTATTTTTGTAATATGAGAAAAACAGTAGAGTTTAGTCCAACATAACTATCAGCAACTGTGAGTTTTTTTCAGAACACGTCAGTGCATATGACAAAGAGTACTGCATAGTCAAATTAAGATGTTATAAAGAATTTGTACTCAGGACTGCATTTATAGCATTTGTATACTCACCACTCCAGAAAACTGAAATGTTATTTTTTGTTTCCAGCTCGGTTTTTCAACTGGGTGATACTCAATGTCCCAGAACTGGGAGTAATCTCCTTTATCTCTAGGTAGAAAGATTACAGCAACCTACAAACACAAAAGAAGAATTTTGCAGAATCTTATCAAAATAATACATACATGTTAGAAGTTTTACCTACACAAAGTTACAGCACAAAGTTTACACACTGCTGGACAGACATTCTACACAAGTGATCTTGCAGAAAACAACACAGCTCGCCCTCCTTTGCCCATAAGAGAAAAAGTTCTCACGGAACAGGTTGTGCAAGCAATCTTGAACAGAATTTGAGTTCAGCTAATCTGCTTTCAGTAAGTTCAGCAAGTGCTTGCACAATTATTTCTATTAGTAGAACGGGGGAGAAGGTGATCGGGAGGGGAAATACATGCAGCTGAAAGACAGCAACACCTTCCTTCATCTGTCAGCTAACCTGTCAACAACCATACTCCTCCAGGTATAAGTGCATAAGCACACTGTGCTACAAGTACCAGAAGGGCTGAAATTTAAACCAACTTGCAGGCTATGCATTTGATTGTCCTTAAAGATCACCTACGTAACAAAGGCTTGTCTCTGCATAAGTGCTGTATCAGGTTAATGCAAGAGTAAATTTGCATTGTTTTCAGAGTTGACATTGGGGAAAGAAAGAGAAGGGGAGCAACAGATGAGAACAGATCACTACAACTCTATCTAATGAGACAAGTATTATCACACCCACTGCAAAAACCAGCAAATCATGATAGCACTGTACCTTATCAGCTCCAGCCAACAGCCTGACATGCCAGTAATATAAATGTTATTCAAATAGGCCTGGACTAGGATTGCTAAGGCAAAAACAATTGTTTAAATTCAAATAATGCTTTTCAATATTACAAAATAACTATAAAACTGGACAGGACTAATGTTTTTGTAGCTTTTAAATAGATTAAAAATTACATCATCATATATATAATGTAGTGAAGGAATGGCAAAATAACCCACAACGATTAAAAGATAGATGTTCATGAAGATGAACAGAGAAAAGTGAAGTAGCACTGAGGGAGAAGGTTAAAGACAAAAGCCCCACAGAAACTCATTCAGTACGTCTCTGGATGTGGCTTTATAATTGTGGTTATGAAACCCTCTACTGGTCAGGAGATAAAATTGTAAGTCAAACGAAATGAACTTTAGGAACAGACAACTGTTCTTGAGTAAGTATGACACGGCTGCTTCCAAAGAAGGGAAACCAGTTCTCGCATCAGTTTAATAAGAATACAGTATTATTTTTTATTTTCTTGCAGATTTTTACAAAACATTTAGGGAAAAAAACCCTGTTCTAGAATAATTTAGCTTTAGAAAAAAAAACAGCCAAACAAAAAAAAACCCACAAAACCACCATTATGTCAAAGTCAACCTACAGACTGCATGAATTCTTAGAATCAGCTCAGGTGACCTTGTAACAGCTGTGGTAAGCAGATACTGACTACCTGATACACACCAGAACCCAATTTTGGAATGCCAGCGTTTTATCATTATCAGATAAAATATGAACAGCTTCAAAAATTCAGCTGCTATTTCAGAGAATTTCTCATGTAAGATCTGATTTTACAATTGAGATACCTTAATGCTTGAATATTTATAAATGTCAAGTTACCTTCTCTTGCCCATGAGCTTCAAGAGTACCAGAAAAACGGGAACATCTGAAAGCAGAGTAAGTAACTCTATACACACAACCAGTTCCATCCACATCCTGCAAATAAAGTCAGGAGTCATTTTCAGAAGAAAAAGCTAAAAGAAAAAACCCAAACCACACCATACACCCAGACAACACACCACCCCTGGAAAAGACTGAAGAAAATACATCCAGTCAAGGTGTTTTCAACTGAACAAATACTGACTCCCTAAAAGCAAATGAGTAAAGACTAGAACTACAACATCATCTATGCAGTCACCATGACTACTGACTTCCACCTTGGAGGTGGTGCACTGGCTGGGACATGGCATACTCAGTCTTCTGAGTCACAGCTAAGAGTGCCACATAACCATTTTACATCATGTCACAACAACAGATCATCATAATTTTCACACAAAATCAAAGCGACCATCACAGAATTTCAGCCTATCAAAAAAAATAGGGAAGCATTTACAAATATCAATAGTACAAGATATAGTGATTGCACAGGCAACAGCATTCTAACTCAAATATCCTTGACCTAACTTAAATTACCTACAGAGATACCATGGAGAGCATAATTTCAGGAGCAAAAATCTCAAAGCAAGGCAAGTCTAGCATTCTGGAGCCAAAAGGGACACTCACCTTTCATATATGCTTGATTACTTAATGCAAACTGGATGATGATAATTGATGAGCACAAACAAACTCTGTAAGCCACTAAGAGAACCAGAAATTGTCCCACAGAGCACTGATTGATTCACAGTCAAGCAGGCATATTAGAGATGAAAAAAAGGAGTAAACCAAATTTGTAACTCAGTTCGTGCTCAAATATATACTCTTTCTTGAGAGGATGGAGGGAGAAAGAGAGCAGCATGAAGACAGAAGGGGAAAAAACCAAGATGCTAGCATAAAACTAATGCAAGCATTCACTCACTTTAGCATAGGGTGGTGCAAAAGATGACAAATGCCACTTCACATTTTCATTCCCTTTATTCTCCATTTCCAGGTAACTCTCTGGAAGAGAAATATCAGACTAGTACATTAAATGTCTTTGTGTGAGTATGTCTGGAGGAAAGAGTTTAAACAGTATTGTTTCACAACACACAAAGTTTAATGGAAATAGTTCACTTCAAAAGCTTATACAAAATAAATTTTGAAGTCTTCTAAAACCACATTGAAGATGCTTACAAGAAACAAAGTGCAACCTAAATCTCACCCTCAGTAACCCTTGAACAATTATAGGTAGAAGCAGATAATACTCTACAAGAACCTGAAGCATATCATGTGATACATGAATGTATTACTAGAAGTAGGAAGTTAGCTGCTTGTAAATACAGAACATGACAAATAGCAGAGAGATACAGTCACCTCCAACAGTCTCAGTTTATCACATTCTGATTTTTGGCAGATACCTTCACATACCAGTGTACAAAAAAAGAAGATACCAACCTCCCCCTCAATATACCCAACTCCTTCCTAAGATATTACCTGACCATTCAGGAAAGAAAAAAAAAAAACACCACAAAAAAACAACTACTGATAGAATTCTAGTTTGGGACCAATTAAATAAAGTTGCATCAAATAAAAATTGTTCTCTCCTAGTATAGATTTGTTACTCAACATGCATATATATATAAAGTGTGTATATATGTGAAACCAATAAAAAGCTTATACTTGACTTGCAGAAAGGAGAACTCACACAATCAGAAAATCTCAACTTTGACAGTACCAGTAAGTATATTCCACACGCTTTGAGAAGTGCTTCTTGCTAAGAATCAACAGGACATTTGTAAGATCATCTCAGTCTAGAGCAGCACTTCATGAAATCTAGTTGCATATATATTATTTGTGACATTTATAAAAATAGGATAGGAAGGAGTATTATATTATACTCCTCTTTCATAAGTGTAGCAAAAACCTCAGATATAATTAGTAGGTGTTCAAAGTTCTAGAGTCTGTTAAATAAAAATGTAGCATCAGTGAATAATTTTAAAAAAAAAATCTCATTACTTAGAAAACTAAGCACTACCAAGAAAAATCTGGTATTTAGACAACAGAATGACAGTTTCATAGAGCAATCTGCAGAATTTTAAGCATTACTGCAATTAGATTGAGAATCTGAGACTCCATTTATCAACAGTATCTTCCTCGATCATTAAGTAGAAGGCAAGGACAGCCAGACTCATAGCTGACATTCCTATCTTAAGGACAAGCATTTATTACTCTGCCACAGGCAGATAGATTTATCTCCCATCTTAGAGACAAATACACAGATGAGGAGAATGGGTCTACTGCAAAAGTGCATTTACCCAGAGGAGCTTCAGCAAAACACAGTACCCCCATAGTGCTCCCTTTGCCCACACACAGTATGGTTGCATTCATCATAGTTCCTTAAAAATTGCCTGACCTGCTTAAAGAAAAATTTGTGGGGAAAAGTGTGACTACGCTGCACAAGGAGAGGTAAAAAAATACTAAAAAAAGAACTTCTGAAAGAGTTCTATTACAAGAAGTAACATTTCAAACTAAAGTCGGAAGAGGGGAAGTGGTCAGTCACACTTACCAGACTGAGAAGAATAAAACATTAAGGCATTCAACCTCCCAAACATGCAATACAGTAAACAAAACCTTGGAACACAAGATATTACAGATGTTGCACTTACTAAGTAAGCAATGTTACCTGAGCTTTGGCCAGGTCTTGTTCCAGGAAAAACAATGGTTCTGCTTTTTATTTCCATTTTTGCTAGAGGGAGCACTGAGAGAGGTTTTGCCACGTGAACAGCAGGACTTCTAGATGGAAAGTGTGCTCCAGACGCACCCTGTGCAACTGCCTCTCGAATTTGCACTTGAATAAACTATTGCACAATTTGGAGAAAAAGAAAGATTTTAATAGTCAGCACTAATATATTAACAAGTCACACTATTACGCTCCCCTTCCTGGAGCTATAAGAGCTCATGTTGTTCAGCTTTACACTCCTGTAGAGAAACAGTCTCATATAGTAAAATCACCAAGTCTTCTCTAACTTCAGTTCACAAAGTCTGAAGGTTTCAAGAAAAGTTTAATTTTGGAGAACAGGAAAATCCAGTGAAAATTTGCTAGCCAGACATTTAAATTCAATAGGAATAGTAATTTAAGTTAGTTAAATTTAATTGACAACTCCTACAATATTCTATGCTTGCAAAGATCAGGAACAGGGCCGCCCCACAGGTGAGCTGTGCTCACCTCAGCTACATAATTAGCACTGCTAAAAACTTCAGTTAATGGCAGTAAAATCTAAGCATACTTTTTGCTTAATTGGATAGGTAGTAAAGAAATGGCAAAAGCATTATCAACTACTAGATCTCTTAAAATCTTATTGGTTTTGCTACATTCTCTACTTCTGTCCTGGTAGGTTTCTTCTCTTAAATCCTTTTCTCGTACCGTAGAACATAACATGGTTAAATACAAGCGCAGTCTCCGTTTCCTTCTCAACTCTTCTCAACAACTTCCCTGTTCAGGGTTTTTAAGGCAGTTTCCAATTCTGTGCTATACCTCACCCTCTCCCATCAAGAAGGTAAGTAGATATGCCATTTTATCCTTTTGTTTTCTTCTATTTCTCTCTCTATGTGTTGTTACAAATAAGCTAAAACATACTGGCTATAAAAACAAACCATATATGTATTTCTTCAGGGGAGGCTACTAAGGAGTCTTTCTGCGTTTACCTTAATGAAAGAAGCTGTTGGCTTCACAAATTTTATTTATATGCCTTAATTTAATCAGTGATAAGTCTTGGATTGAAATGCATAAAAAGCAAGAATCTCTTCCAGACATTCTTTATCACAGGCTTGTCAGCTACAAGTTTATCTTAAGGAGGTTCAAATGGAGCTATGGTGAATGACTTGGTCTTCCTTTAACTTCTTTCATTTTGAAAGATCATATAGGCTACTTTTAAATACGCATGTGTACACATGTATACTTAGTGTTTTAGAAAATTATGTGTAAGGCAGTGGTGGACGTACACATGCAATTTCATTGGCCATTCAATCTAAGCGTTCACATAATAGTATTTCTTCAGAGATGAATGAACTAAGAATCTAAGTTTGCAAAACAGCATCTCAACTACCAATTATTCTTTTTTCTTTTCTTTTTTAAAAAGAGAACTATGCAAATTAGAGAAAATAATGGAATTCAACAGGACTGCTACCTTATACCCCAAAGGTTTTAGCAACATTACTAGATCTTATCCAGCAAAATGAAACACAGTTGCAATCTCAACTCCCAAGTAAATCACATACCTTTTGTCCATTATCAGAAATTATACAGATGAGGCCACTCCAAGGGATTAATGAAGGCTTTGTAGCAAGTGATGGATTAGGACTCACCAGAATTACTGTACTGCTCCTAACAAAGGAAAAAAATATGAGCATGATCTTACTAGCGCCCCAGTAAGTGTAAATTATCCAGAGATGGTTAAAGTATTCAGATAACCAATATATTATCAAGTTTTAGTAGTCAGGAACCTAACACTAACACACTTCATAAACTTGCCATTGATGGTTGTATATGGGGCTATAGGGAAATAGTAAATCTATTTTGTTAACATATACAACCAGTCAGGCTATGTAAAACAGATGAAACTACACTTTTCAGAAAAATAAGCCTCAGTTCCAGTCAGCAAGTTATACTGCACAAATTCCAAGAACTTTTTACAGTAATTCTAGTTTTAGTGAAGCAGCTTGCTTTCCTTCCTCCTATGCAGGACTCATCTTGAAAAAAAGAAAAGCCCTTCAAAGTTATCAATACTTTCTATAGTTATTCAGAGTAGGAGACACCAAAGAGTTGAAAATCACTTGAAGCACTTACAGCATCACACAGTAATTTGACCAATGAGAACACAAATTCTGATTTACAGTATTCCATATTCTATACTAGAGACATTTAAATAAAGGAGAGAAGAAAGTAAGCACCTAAGTATTTAAAAAATGAGTACAAAAATCACTGAAGTAAAGGTCACTAGTTGGATATAAGCAAAAGCACTCAAGCTAATATGTCATTAGCACAGCAGTTTGCATTTGAAAATTTAGTGTAGGAACAAGATCAGTCCCCATAGGAAAGTCAGTTCCACAATCACTGTCACAGTATGACCACCCCTACAAGCTTCAACTAATGGATGTCAATGGCCTTGAAATATTAAATCAAGATACTGATATTTCCTTAAGGAATTGTGGGGGATTTCTGGAGTCTCAGGAGTTTTCAGAATTCTTTCATTCATGGTATTCACCCATGTACCAGCTACATTTGTGAAAATATGATTTACTAAGCATATAAACTATCTGTTATCACAAACCATTCCACTGTCTTTGCTTTTACCAGATTACATGGGGAGTTTGTGGTAGATGTCAAAGACAAATCCAGTTCTCAGAAGAGTCAAACTGAACCCAAAGATGCTATTCTCAGTACTTCCATTGCCATGGAAAGGAGCAGAGGCTAGGGAAGAAATATTTTCCAGCTAGGGAAGAAATATTTTCCAAAGGTAGCTCTTGCAGCTTTTGGAGATTCCAACAGTCTCTACTCCAAAAGTGCAATTCCTTTCACAGCACGTACCAATACACCCAACATTAAGGCACAGCAACATGCCTGAGGCTAGTTTCAGTCTGCCTCCGTAAGAAAATATCTTGGAATGCTACCAAATATAGTAGGGACTCGGGTCTTTATTATTCCACATTCAGGCAAGTTAGAGGTTGCTTTAGCTCATTCCATGGAACTTAAGGGGCTTAGTCAAAGCAAAACTTGGGGTGGTCTCCTTGCTCTAGCACAGCAGTCAGTCCTTGATCTCAGAACCTTTTTCATCATCATTGAGAAACCAGACCTTCTCCTTTCCTGGCCTACATCAGTTCAAGAATTCTGTTGGCTCCAGCCATCACAGCGCACTGTATAAAAGCTTCTGGCCAGCTCCTGTCCTGACAGCATGACTGCCCTTGGCACTGCAGGGAGCTGGCCAGGAAACGTAGAACACCAAGGAAGCGCAGCTTGCTGTGCGACAGCATGACTGCCCTTGGCACTGCACGGAGCTGGCCAGGAAACGTAGAACACCAGGGAAGCGCAGCTTGCTGTGTCTAAGCCAGCAGTTCCCACGGGTTTGTTCCCTACTCGCAAGCCTCTGTTCATGACCCAGCCTACTTACTCAGACCCAACATAGGAGGTTTCTGTTCCTTTTTTCTCAGCAAAGGGAACACATTTAAAATTATGAAGTATAAAAAAATTGCCCACAGAAGGCATTCAACTCCATCTTAAGAAATGATTCCACGGACAGTCCGGAGTCTAAGTATGAGACACTCAAGATGTCCTTAACATCACAGCTTCTGGAAGGTTGCTCACTGTTATCTCATTTTGGAACCATTGTTCTTGACACCGATCGAATCTGCAAGGAGCAGCAGAGATCCTAGTCCTTCCAGAGAATCCTCTCTTTTGTTCACACTAGTGATAAAAGTTCTCCAGGAGTAAATCCAAGAATTCACTTGTACATGAATATCAAATTAAGTGTTTAAATGGATCGTGTCTTGCACAGTGATGCAGGACTGAAAAGAAAGCACCTGTTTGGGCCAACGTCTACAAAGTTAAAGGAACTACTTAAATAAAACTGAAAGTAAAATTTATTTTTTATGCACCATGAGACTCTTCTGAAGAGAGGAATAGGTTAAGAATAGGGTCTTAGAAGACTTTCTGAACTTAAAAAAACCCATAAATTTAGAAGAGGGGGTCAGAACTTTCAAGTGTTTTATCATGAAAGACTTTGCAGACATCAGTAAGAAAACCCATACACACATGTAGTGATACTATGACTATTATTCCCAAATATTGCTAATTAAGACACAGGTGACCTGACATGGCCTTGTAATTCTTTTCATACCTACAGATATTGAGAAGCCTAAGCCTGTGTGGCAAAATCAGTTTTGTCAGAACACAAAAAAAAAAAAACACCACACAAAAGTTCTAACAAATAACAACAAGTTTGCAAAAGAAAACACTCAGTTCCCAGAAGAAAAACATTCTTTAAGAACTGTTATTTTTGGTTTTGTTTCTTTGTTGCAGGGTAGGAGGAGAGGAAAAAGTGGTTTTTGTTTCAAACAGAGGTAATTTTTAAACAAAAAACTATTGTGAAAGGAGATTTCCAAACCGTCAGCTTTGGTGACCATCAAGCTCCTGGAAAACTGTGTCATAACAACAGAATTTCCAGGCAGAGAAAATTCCTGGCCTGCAGGTAATTTCATAGGTGACAGAAGAACATTCCTTCTATACAGAATTAGAAAAGGATAAGGTCCTAAAATCTAAAAGCCAGATTTGTGTGTTAGCTGACAAAAAGACTACATTCTAGAATTAACTAAAACAGTTACTACCATGGTTTAGACTAAATAAACTTAAAACAAATTCCTAAAAACTAACTAACTAAAAATCCTAAATTCACTAGATTTCTAAACTAAAAATAAACTTCTCCAAAATCTCATTGCACTTTCACACACAAAAGAACTCATGAAACAAAACTTACTCTGGTTCAATAACTCCGTGCTGTGGGGTTATAGTAAGGCAATGAGCAGGCCATGAAAGCTCAAATGCCAACCTCCTATCAGAATTGTTGACGATTTGTACATGTCCAGTATCCGCTGTTCCACCTGGAACATAAAGAAAAAAAAAAGCTAACATGTACACAAGTTCTCAGAAGTGCCCAAGATTCAGAGATGGACCAGCTAAGATAAAGCACTTTCTGTCTGATTTTTAACTTCACAATGCTTAAAAATCTTTAGGAATGCAGTGCATATGTATATGTATATATGCACAGAGTGCACTGTCTCTAACAATTTAACCAAAATTATGTTCAAATCAAGTTTACTGTTTGGATGTAGAGCTCCTGTAGCAAGATTATTGGCCAAGCCACATTTACAAACACAAAATAAGTACAAATATAGTATGCAGTATAGCTATTTTAATACTAGAGTGATTATTTTATTAACTTCAAAAAATACTTACTGATAGAAGGAGATGTCAATGTCAAGTACTCAGGTTTAACAGCCCAAGTCTGTTGAACATCTGGTTTATTCTGGACCAGATTATCAGTTTTTACAGGTATGGGAGGACCCTGAGGTCCTTTAACAGGAAGAACATCCAAAGTTGCATTGATGTGTCTGACAGAGTTCTCAAATCTGAAAATACGACAGCATTAAGCAGACATAGTAATAAAAATAACTTGTGAGTATTATAAAAGCCTACTCCTGGTATTCCTCAAAATTTAATGCTGAAATACAATGTTCTTTACATGGGTCTTCAATTTAATTCAGTTCTCCACTATGACAAAAAATTTAATTCAGCAGCTATAAAATGTCACAGTTTTTTCACAGAATGTTTAGAAGTGGAAGGAATCTTCAAGTGATAATGAAGTGAAATGCTTTCTCTATACATACTTTATTGAGATAAAGAAAATACTGCAGAGACAAATAAGGCAGTGCAACTTGTGTGTCACAGCACACTGGAGGTCAGCAGGGATCTCTGGCGATCACCTAGTCCAACATCCTGCTTAAAGCAGGGTCAGCTACAGCAGGTTACTTGGGACATGGTCCTGTCAGGTTTTGAATTTCTCCAGAGATGAAGCCTGTACAGTCTCTCTTGGCAACTTGTTCCAGTGTCTTACCACCCTTACTAGAAATAAAAAGGAAAAAAAAAGGGAGGGTTTCTGGCATTTCAATTTGTGTCTATTGCCTCTTGTCCTGTCACTGGGCACCACTTGGGAAGACTGTCTTCCTCTTTTTCAGATCCCTATCAAGTATTTACACACATTGAGAAAATCCCCCCCTTACTCAAGCCTTCTCAACACTAAAAGAACCCAGCTCTATTCACTCCTTGCAAGGCAGACAATCCAATCCCTTCAACCTCTTCATGGCCTAGGATTTTACACCTTTGTCTGCAAAATACATGGCAAGTAAGCTAATATATGAATGCTAGGAAACGGTTCTTTTAGGATTCAGCATATTTTCCTTTTAAGTGCTTGCCTCAGAGGTTTGGCTTTAAATACTAAAATAAAAGCAAAAATCAACAATTAAACGAGAAGTAAATAATCTTTGCTCCGTTCAACATTGCGCAAACATATAGCTCTTCTTCCTATTATTTCTACTTCTGCTTTTAATGCTTTTGAGAACACTGACTCAGTTCAGGACTGCTAAAGTAACACCGGTGAGAATTCATCTCTTTAGATAGCACTGAAACAAGGAAGGCAACTGATTCACATCATTCTTTGACATGAAATTTCCTAAGAGTCAGATTACTAGTTAATACACACATATCTAAGAATTACAGTCTACTCGGAAAATTAAGATCCCCATGATGCTTAGCCAGGGAATAAATTCGAATCTGTAAGAAATGATAAGGCTATTAAGTAGGAAAAATAAAACAAAAAGTGACATCCACCAAATAAATATCCTGCTTGCTGCTGTGGATATTTGTTTCCAACTTCTAGCTTCACAATCCCACTATGCCTGACCAACATCTTGCTAGCCAACAAGTCTGTCAAGCGTCCCAAATTGTTCAGCAACTACAGTGCAACAGGCCCATGCAATTCCAAGACAACATCTACATGTGTAGATCTTAAACACAACAGGACTAGGTAGGACCTAGCACTGTGTTCAGCTCTGGGGTCCCCAGCCTAAGACAGGCATGGACCTGTTGGAGCATGTCCACGGGAGGATCACAAAGGTGATCAGGAGGCTGGAGCACCTCCTCTATGACAACAGGCTGGGAGAGTGGGGTTGTTCAGCCTGGAGAAGGCTCTGGGGAGACTTTACTGCTGACTTAAAGGGGACCTACAGGAAAGATGGGGAGGGACTCTTTACAAGGACATGTAGTGATAGGGGGTAATGGTTTCAAACAGAAAGAGGGCAGATTTAGATTAGGTATTAGGACTAAATTCTTTACTGTGAGGGTGCTGAGGTAATGGAAGAGGTTACTCAGAGAGGCTGTGGAAGCCCCCTCCCTGGAAATGTTCAAGGCCAGGCTGGATGGGGCTTTGAGCAACCTGATCTAGTAGAGGGTGTCCCTGACCATGGCAAGGGGCTTGGAGCAGATCCTCTCAATGGACCCTTTCAACCCTAACCATTCTATGATTCCATGACCCTTGCTCTACCTATGTAACAGGATCTTGAGAAGAAAAAAAATACAATTACTAAAGAAAACCTATGCAAATATATTCTGTAAGAAGTTATCCCACTTTTATTTAGGTTTTATGCTACATTATATTAGCAAGTAGGACTTGTATAGGATTTGGATATTTCTTTCCCTTTTCAGGGGAAACGCTACAGCAACCTGTCGAAATAAAAGCAACAGGTCCATGTTAAAGACCACATCTCTGCCAGTCCTCCAAAGAAATCCTCCCAGTAACGGACCACTTCATTTGAAAGAGTGACAAGGTGGGAGTAGCCTCAGCACTCTTCTAATGAGTATAGTACACACAGCATTAAAGGCTGGCATAAAGGCTGGACAAGGAAAAGGCCATCAAGCCTTTGTAATACACCTCTATTTCTAAACCAGACATCAAAAATTCATTGCAAGGAATGAAGTTGCTATCGTCCTATTAAGACTACAACAGTGCCTATGGAGAAACAAAAAGCAGTCTTTTCAGACAAAAGAACAGGAAGTTCAAGATAATTCTGTCAGTTGAGGGAAGACTTAAAAAGTTACTATAACAGTTTAAACAAACTATATAGAGAAAAGCAGTGAGAAGAGACACCTAGAAATTAATTGGAGCTATTCTCATTGTAAAGCCAGCTCTTCAACTTACAAAGCAAGTCAGTTTTCATCACTGATGTTAAAATCATCAATGAAAGGAGATGCATTTCAGTTAGGCATTATTTGACAGTTTGTCTTATGGATACATTACCTCTGTGATTCCAAATGATGTCCCGAAGACTGCTGAAATCCATCCTGATCAGAAGTGGAATATCTCATCACAGAAAGGATAACCTTTTGCATATTTAGGTAGAAAAGACAGATATCATCTGTCCCCCGTGGGATATCACATACTAAAAATGAGAGTAATAGAGGAATTCTTTTAAGAACAAATCTGTCACACTCGAAAATTACACAATAGAGGTTTAGGATATAGACATAGTTAATAACCTGTTGGCCAAGATAACCTAGATTATTCAGAAAATCACTTACTACAAAAGTTCAGTTATCAGGCGTATATCAACATCAACATCACATGCAACATAAATCTAAATACCAGCAGCTTTAACATCTTAATCATATTTTCCACTTTTATACAAATGGTATAAACTAATCTGATTCCATGTCAAATGAAACGGAAGTTTTACCTTTTTTACCCTGACAAGATTAATACATTCTTAAGGCTTTACAGAGATTCAAGTTATTTTTCAGTTACTCAATCTATCCAATTTAACACTTCATTATTTAGTTCATTATACCTGTACATATTCAAAAGGTCAGGAATGTAAGAATGTGATTTTAAAGTAATAAAATGTTTCAGTAAAATATTTAATCAAGTCAAAAAGTTTTTTCCTTTGCTTTGAGCCATTTCATGTTGAACAGACAGAATGAACAAGTGAGCGCTTCTCATATAGGTTACATTTGATCCAATCATTATTCGGAAGGAATTATTATGGAAGGAATTATTATTCAGTATGGAAATATGTCCTTTCTTTAGCATGACTATTATTTCTACTGTAAGTTTCTTTTATTCCCTCCTCTACCCATCAACTGCATTCCCTTCAGGTTCAGGAAATGTCAGTTTTCAAATATCCTATTAAAATATTTAACACCTACAGCCTATTTTATTTTCACCAACTTACAGTATCAAAACAGTTAGTTCATAATATCATTAAGATAGCTCTGAATGCCAAGGCCACAGTGCACACAGTTCCAGACCCAAAAACATCAGACCCAAATCAGAGCATGCAAACAGCCTGATGGTGCCATCTTCACATCTCACAACCGACAGCAACAATTTTATACAACGGCTTAGATTCTATAAAATATAATTAAGCACATCAGAAGATATCTAGAAATGCACAAGATGTTCTTGCGAAGAATATTTGATCAAAATTCCTTCCCTCCTCTTCAACAATACACCCATATGCAGACAAGATGCTAATATGCACTAAATTCATTTTGACAACCCAAGTCCATCAGTCACAATGTTCTACACTGCTTTAGAATAAGAAGCTGCTAGATGTTAAATAGCAACAACCACTGTCTCTCCTCTATTAGTAGTTGAAGCATACCATAACAACTAGAAGTACATTGGAACGATATGCAAAAGACGTTCCATTAGTGAAGCAAATCACGAGGTGAACCCTCTGGATTAAGGTAATGAGGAATCAAGACCAAAACAATCCAGGGATCCAACTTTACAATAAAAGCTATTCTTATAGGCAAGACATTCTAGTCTTTGAGCTTTTCAGCATCATGTCTTTAACGGTCTTGCATTTCAAGGGCCAAATAGTACAAAAAACCATTCATACGTTAAAAAAAAAAAGAAAAAAAAGAAACCACAACTTTTCACCTATGAGATAGCATCTTACAGAAAAGAAGAAAAAAAACCCAAATAAATCAGATCTCTTAAGTCTAGGTACTACTATTAGTTTCTGCAAAGTATTTAACTTAGGAGAACACGCAACAAAAAAAAAAATTGTGGATATTCCTACTGAAAAGTCAGTGAACACTAATCTGTGTAACATAATATTGTACTATTCACACGGGATATCACTGGGTGACAGATAAAAAGGGGCTTGAGGATTGTATCATTGTTAGAACAAATAAAGAGTAACCTACTTTACATTTCTCATGGCTACTCTGCCAGCACTGCTCCTTCAAGGCATATTTGCAGTGTTACACAAATCTGTCTCCTAGTATGTTTGTAACAGTTTTAACATTAAATTTATTGATTGAATATATAAAGTAAGGGACAAGGATCTTTTATGTCCAAGATAAATAAGTTTGAATAAACTGTGACCAAACAGGCAACAATAAGCTATATTTCACAAATTCAGGAAAGTATGCTCTCAGAGAGACCGAAAAATATTAAGATCCAAGAGGTAGGTCTTGCTTTCTACAGGGAAAAAATATAAGTTACCATTAGTAAAACTCTAGTAATAAGGCAGGAAGAGATAATCAAGGATATCCAGGTTCTAACATGAGCTTAACAATTTCAGAGCATCCTCCAGAACCCAAGTATCTTATCTTCACTAGGATTAAACCTCAACCAAGATGCATGAACAACAATCTTCACTTTTGCAAGTAAAGACAACATACAACCTACACAGAAAGCACTGGACTACAACACTTACACTATTTTTCCATATGTGAATAGAACTAGTTCAAGAAATAGAGTTGAACAGTAAACTTATCCATGACACTTATGAGATCGAACAGTTTGGCAGGAGGGGGTTAGGGTTATTTGGGGTTTTTGGTGCTCTGGAGGTGTGGAGTATTTTTTTCTTTAAGGACACCTTAACAATATATTGCATTCTTAAGAAATTACTTGCTAACACAAGTAGAAGTACAAGAAAAAAAAGTTACTTAATTTAGGAAGGAAAAGATGTATTTTAATGTCAGCAAAATTGTCTGCTCTTAGTTTTCAAATATAAGATATGTCTCTGTAGGAGACACTGAATTTTTCTCTAGTATTAATAATAGGGCAAATACTCTCCAAATAAACTGAGCATTTTTAATGCTGTAACATTCATAGACTTAAGTTTTATTTTGCTAGGATAAAAGTACAGTAAATTGTTTAACTAGGCATTGAAGAAAAGAAAAGCAAGTTCTGTTGTGGAGGGCTGATCCTGGCTAGAATGCCAGGTGCCCACCAAACCCACTCTATAACTCCCCACCTCAGCTGGACAGGGGAGAGAAAATACAATAAAAGGCTCATGGGTTGAGACTAGGACAGGGAGATCACCCACCAGTTACCATCAACGGCATAACAGACTTGACTTGGGGAAAATTGATTTATTGTCCATCAGATCAGAGTGGGTAATGAAAAATAAAAACTAAATCTTAAAACACCTTCCCCTCACTCCTTCCTTACTCCCAGGCTCAACTTCTCTCCTGAATATCCTCACTTCAAGACATGCAGAGTCAGGGAATGGGGGCTGTGGTCAATTCACCACACCTTGTCTCTGCCACTCCTTATTCCCCAGAAGGAGGAGTCCTCACACTCTTCCCCTGCTCCCATGGGGTGTCTCCTACAGGAGACAGTGCTCCACAACTTCTCCAATGTGGATCCTTCTCACAGGCTACAGTTCTTCACAAACTGTCGGTCCCTTCCACAGAGTGAAGTCCTTCAGGAACAAACTGCTCCAGCGTGAGCGCCCCATGAGGTCACAAGTCCTGCCAGGTAACCTGCTCTGGCATAGGCTGCTCCACACAGATCCCGCCAGGAGCCTGCCCCAGTGCAGGCTTCCCATGGGGTCAGAGTCTCCTTCCAGCAAATCTACCTGCTCTGGCATGAGCTCTCCACTGGCTGTGGGTGGACACCTGCTCCACCGTCAATCTTCCCAGGCGGCAGGGGGACAGCCTGCCTCACCATGGTCTTCAGTTCAGGCTGCAGGGGAATCTCCGCTCTGGCACAGGAGCACCTCCTGCCCCTCCTTCACTGACCTGGGTGTCTGCAGAATTGCTTCTCTCACTTTCTCACTCCTCTCTCTCAGCTGCTGTTGTGCAGCAACTTTTCCCCCATCTTAAACACATTATCCCAGACGTGGTACCACCAGCTCTGATGGGCTCAGCCTTGACCAACAGCTGGTTCATCTTGGAGCCAGCTGTCAGACATAGGGGAAGCCTCTAGCAGCTTCTCATAGGAGCCCTCCCTGCCCCCACTACCTAAACCTTGCCACATAAAACCAACAGATCCATCCAAATTAAGAATTTTGTTTCTACATTTATCAAAAAACAAGTAGTGGAGAAAACAACTAGATTCAAGCCTAAAAGCACAGTTTTCCACCTGAAAACAAGCAATATATTTTTCTTTTCCCAAGTCACAGGCTTACCTTCTGTCACAAGCTCCTCCCCTCTAAATTCTTCATGAAATACAATATTTCTCAAGAAACTGTTTTCTGGAATTATATGTTTTTCTACCTCTGGGTTACAAATTATAGCTCTGATAAAGAGACAAAAAACCAGAATCATTGAGTTACACAAAGTATTGGAAACAATCATTTTAAAAGATATATAAGATTGGTAAGAATCCAGCATAATTTTAATTTTATAATTTCTTGAATAAACCAACCTCAAATCTGCAAGAATTCATTTAAAACTGAATTATTTTCATAATCTGGAAAAGATTAAAGAAATATAGCGGCTCTATTGCTGCACAGTAAAAGAAACCACTGAAATACTGGCTACCATACACTTGGCTTCCCACAACACTTGTTCTCTGCTGTCAGTCACACCTACCTAGATTTGTACTAAGCACATCAGACATCTGATTTTTTTCAGTCACCACAGGAAGCAAGAGAATGTTATGCTGGTCACAAGTGAACACCTTTAGAGGGGAAAATTTGACTACTCAATGGAAGAGTGGCAGCAGATGCCAATCAACAGCAGGAACGTGGAGCCAAGGAGTGTGACTGCCAGCAGGACAGAAAAGACTGGGAGGCATTGGGATATAAATAGTCCTGGCAAAAATGGGAAGCAACAAGTCAGTAAGAGGAAACCTGGCACTCAGACAGGGTCAGAGCCGTGGAGGTGGAAAGAATACCTCAGCACCACTAACTCTCAGGTCTTGCTACTTACCAGGCTGCTGACTATATGTATTTTTGGAGTAGAGCACTTGAGCCACAAGTTGGCACACTAGGCAGATTACTCATTTCATATTTCTGCCCCAAGTCATGTCCATGTTCTAGTATACAATCATAGAATGGGCTTTGACTGGCTTACAGTTCTCAGTCATCTCAAGAAATAAGTAACTCCCTCAAATTATCGATGGAGACTTTGGAAGACTTCCCACTAAGAAACAACCAACTAGACCACCATGTTCAAGAATCAAACGTCAGGCCTGCTGACTAATAAAAACAGCAACAAAACTTCACTCACTACACCAATATCCAGAGTCTGAATAAAACGTTTCCAACACTACCTAAAATACAGGTGTATCAAGCTCCTTGGCTTACGGTTCTCAGTCATCTCAAGAAATAAGTAACTCCCTCAAATTATCGATGGAGACTTTGGAAGACTTCCCACTAAGAAACAACCAACTAGACCACCATGTTTAAGAATCAAATGTCAGGCCTGCTGACTAATAAAATCAGCAACAAAACTTCACTCACACACAAATATCCAGAGTCTGAATAAAAAGTTTCCAACACTACCTAAAATACAGGTGTATCAAGCTCCTTAATGGGTTTTCTGTTGATCAGTAAAACAAAAGTGCTTTGCCTTTTGAGAAAGATTCAATGACAGTGGGCATTGCCTCAGAAGAAAATCAGTAACACTCATCTAATATATCTAAGATAAGCTAATCTTCTAAAAAGTAAGTCACGAACACAGCTGTTTCGTGGGCTTTTTATTCCAAATCATACAGTTAAATTCAGCTATGTTTAATACTTTATTTGGAGAATAATAAACATAATGAATCACAGAATGTTAGGGGTTGGAAGGGACCTCTGGAGATCATCTAAGTCCAATCCCCTTGCTTATGACTTCCATAAAGTTTCAGGCAATGCCATTTAAAAGCAATAGCGAGACACTGCCATTCTGAAATTTTGCACTGAATAACGATCATCAGCACTGTTCCACCTATTCTTAACATTTTGCATTATCACTATACACCATACACAGCACAAGTTGAAAGTGCAAGTTTTGACTTGTCATTAAAAGCAGGGTATGCCAATTTTGTGCATTTGAGTTAAGGCAATTGAAATGTGGAGTAACACAGCCTCTATTTAAGCTCAGTAAGATATATTCTACAAGTTTCTTTGGTGTGTCACAAGCACATGTGGATTAACATCTCACATTTCCCTCACATACACATCTAATCAAACACTGTCTTTGTCATCAGAATTCCACAAAACCAAAATACAAATCTTGCTCAAAATTTAATACTACTGAATTTCAGTACTACTCCTTTCATGCGTTTTTTTCTTTTAAAAAATAAAGCTACATATGTATCGGAAAGAAATATACCAATATAGAACAGAACTCTCTCCTAATATAAAAAAGCAATTTTTTTTCCCCAAATCAAACACACTCAAATTCAAGAATGTAAAAAAAAACAAAACACCTCTTTACTAGGATACAGTATTTAAACAAAACCACAAATAAACAAACCAAATCCCGAATCAACCTAACAGATTTAAGATCTCTCCATATCGTCACTGTCTTGTTGGTTTTGGAAGCACGTTAAAACTATACTCATGGTAGCACACACCTCTAGTTTAACTTTTTAATAAACCCCAGTCTCTGTTACAATACCAAAGTACATCTTACCTACGATACTGCTGCCTAGAAACTTCATCTCCACAAAAAAAATATACTGTTGATAACAACGTGTTTCGTTTATGAAAATTCTTTTCCTTTTCCATTGGATTCCATCTTACAGTAACCACCTGATAAAATAAATAGACAACGTACTCAGAAAAAAGTCTTGTTAGTACTAACATTTGGAATATGAATCAACAAACTACTGCAATATGAGTAAAACAGGATTTAGCACAGGTTAAGTGAGATTTTAATAGGGAACTAATCAGACATTCTCATTGATCGCATTTATTTTTAAATTAATAACACTTGCTCAGAATCAGGTATTATACTTACTTCCTGTGTTCCTTCTCTTAGTACAAACTGCTCTGGAGATACCATCATTACCTCAGGATCCATAACTGTTTTTGTCTCTAGGCTTGCAAAGCACAGTGCTTTAACATAGGCAGCCCGCGAACCTGTATTTCTTATGCAGAAGGAAGCTTTCTTTGGCCTTGCAGGCAGTGATTCATCCAGTGTTACCAGGTAACAATGTGGCAGCTTCTTAACGTTTTCTAAAGTTATATTGCTTGTTCCTCCATATCCAGACAGCGGTATCTGGAGCAGGGGGGAATCACACACACACACACACACACAAAAAGTACTTCAAATTAAAGAAAGCTTCTTACTAAAACTTCTGTACAACTACTGTAACCTATATGAAGAGTTACAGAAAAACAAATGAAGATGTTTAAAATGTTAACTGAAAAGACTTTGAAAGAAAGAAAAAAGTCTAAGTTTATTCAGTCTTTTTCAAGTTCTACTGAAAATTAATTTAAGGCCTACCTGTAGAACAAGACAAGTTTAGATTATTTTTTTTGACAGTTCCAGAGTTAAAAATTTTAGGCTGCTTTTAATATAGTACCTAAAAAATCTTTATTCCTCCTTCACAGTGTGAAATGCTGCAAGCAAAATACAGACTATTCCAACTGAAATGATTCTATGATAAGACCTTTAAGACCAAGTCCATCCATTAACCTAGCACTGCCAAGGCCCACCACTAAACCATGTCATGTTCAAACCATAAGACTTAGCACCCATACAATCTTTAATAAGTACATAGATATGCAGAGTGTGTATCTTTAAAAGTTTCAGCTTTTCAATAGAAATGGCTATTACTACTAGTTTTTAAGTAATTATGATAAATGTATGTTTAATATTAGTAGAATTTGGGTTGGGGCTCTTACAGTAAACTTAATTCCTGGCTGTGATCGAATCCCCAGCTGTTTGATTTCCAGCTTTGCAAAGAAGCAAGTAATTCGAGTAGGTGCAAACATCAAGTATATGTTAGTGTCTTCTTTGGGACGGATTTTGAGTTCCCAACTACTAGTTAAGCGTTCTTCTGATCCAAATATACTTTGCAACTATAAAGACAAAAGACATCAGAAGTGAGTGACTAAAATTGGAAAAGCACAATGCAGTAAGACTTACCTCGCTAGTAACACAAAATTAACTTCTTCAAAACCTGGAGTAACTTAGTTGACAATGGCATATATTTAAAGTTGCTTAATATGCAACAAAAAAGACCAAGTTCAAGATACTTTATATTCCCACAATAAACTTCTCAGTTTAGACCACGGGGGTTTTTGCCTTCAGTCCACAACACGGTAAGGCTGAACTTAGCGAGCACTACATTAAATCTCTGTTTAAGATTTTAAACATCAAATCTGAGCACCGGAGGAAAAACAGTGATATAAATGTATGTGGACTACATAACACACAAACAAACAAAAACCCCCAACCTTTTAGTTATGTTAATTCCCAAAAGCTAATTGCAGTTTTCTTCATCCTCTCCCTCACATACACAGAGCACTTTGGACCAAGGTCTGGAATCCCTCCTACAGGAAGGGCACTGACAGATCACTCCACTGAGTCCTGACAGTTGTGCTACAGTCACTTAAAGAGCAGCAAACTGAGCTCCAACGTGCTGCAGCACTCCTGTCACTCAGACCCTCCAAAGTTGCCAGTGCAGCTTAAGACCTGCTGCCATGTCCGTCCTGGCAGTATCGGAGCAAATACTCACACAGCCTGCTAGTCACTGACATCTACAAAGGAATGAAACTTCAGGGCAAAGATATTTTTATTATAAACATACTCTAAAATTGTCATAAACATTAAAGAGAAATTTTCATGACAGTTACCTGAAAGCAGTCTTGATCCTGGCCTCTTATCAACAGTCTTAAATGTTGGGTCACAGATGGAGAGTCATTTCTTAGAGTTAACTTCTGCTGCCTGAAAAATAGGAAGTTTAGTTATATTTTACAGCAAATGTAAATAAACTGCATATATTTATTCAAGGAAATGGGACAGTCAATTTTAAAGTCATTTCATGTAAAAAATAATCACCTCTTGGAACAACAGAATATGTTAGCTAGAAAGTTATTTTTGTATTCTCAAACTTACAGACCTTATAATAATATATGCCATTATGCACCAAAACAAGCAGGGGAAAACAATCTGAAATTATATATAAATACAGCTTTTCTGATGTTGAAGTATTGTACTTAACAGCTTGAACTTCCAAAGCAAGCAGCAGTTGTGTCAATACAAAAATTCTTTAGAAAACACACTTTAAGATACAGTTATAATTAGAACACCCAGCGCCACTTAGCTATTGCAGAAACAGAGGTTTTGAGTAGTCTGGTCCAGATTTACTGAAAGAGTTATAAAGAATTAAATTAAGGGTAACTTTTCCTTTTCATGTACTTTTCTCTCCAATATATCCTGGCATTAACCAGGCTTGTGGTACTCAGAACTTTCCCCAATAAACTTCTCCAGCAAGAAGAGCAAGTGCTTTTGTCATTTTAACAAGTCAAAAATACAATCACAGAAGGATGTGACAAGCCCTAAAAACTGGTAAAAACATAAAGGAAGAGGGAGAATCATGCAGTTAGAATCAAAGAAGGGGATGGAGAAAGAGCAAAGTTTCTCCCTAATTTTCAGAAGCAGACGATGTTTTGTACTCTGTTGGGAGAAAAAAATCTAAAAATAATTTCAGTGCCTAAAAACAATCTGGCATCAAAAACTATTTTTTTCGGGAGGAACAGAAAACAAAAAGATAGCAGCACATAGTGCACAGAAAGTAATCCCCAAACACCAAACAGTCAAAATTACTGTTACAAATATGCTATCTTAACAAACCAGAAAAATAGGAAGATAGCTATCAGAAATGGTTCTTTGGTTGCAAACATGAATCACTTTTAAATAAAAGGGAACTTTATCAGATTCCTCAAAAATCCAGCATCAGAACAACAGTGGATTAGTCTCTGAAGTAATACCTACTAGAAGGCCAGAGATCTGCAAAACCTGCAGTGCTTACACACGAAAGAAGCAACATATATCTAGACAATTATGAACAGTTTCATTAAATCATGGAATACTGAAGCTATAAACTTGAAACTAAAAAAGTTCAGACAAGAATTAGTCTGAAAGATAAAGTAATCATAATTAGGGATGCAATGGATTCTCCATCACTGAAAGTTTTAACATTGGAACACATTCAAATTCAAATAAACTAAGAGATATTCAACACCCTATGCTATTTAGATGGTCAAATTACATTACCAGACTGGAATCTTCCAGTTTTAATGGAGGAATTGAAGAAAAAAGCATAGACTTTTATTTCTAGCAAGAGATAGTTGTCAAAA